CAGAAGATCGGATCTTCGAAGGGCTATGGGAAAGCCACATGGTCATATTCGGAATCAGCATGGTCGATAACCTATAACCCACTAGATGCCGATCAAAAAGTGATTTATCATCTAGGGAGGTTCTCTCGTCAGTGAAACAAAGAAACTGTTATGGATAAACTCAGAGAAAGATACCAATAAAGTACACAGTGACTCGCTCTTTGTAGAATATCCGTTATAGGCTACCGCCATCACCACTACATGCAACAAAATTCATAAAGAAATAGAATAGAAGAAAATTATGGAAGTTTGTCCACTATATTGAGTTTTATGAGTAAAACATTTGAAAACTGTTACTGTTTAAAAGATTCATATAGGATAAACTCCATCGTGCAATCGAAAACAACAATCATTCTCTAATAGAAGAAAAAATGATGCCATTTTTTACACAGTTTATCTGATGTAAATCATTCTGCTAAGCGTCATTGCATTGAGTACATCAAGCACTATTTTAAAATGGATAATACCTGAATGTATTCTTAGGTTGTTCGTTGAATCAATATGGACCGAACGATTTATAAATGAGTTGTTGTTTTATTTAGTTAGTAATATTTGATAAGAAAAAACGGCGTAGATTATATGATGAATCAGTGTCTTGAATATTTTATTTGAATAAAGCATATACACCCCTGATAATATACAGTTTTATTCTATATGAATAAAAAGAAAACATACTTTTTTCTAACTAAAAGAACGAAGATTAATTGTAACCACAAGAATACTTTCACCGATTATACGAATGAAGTTGTGTAGGAAAAAAGAAATTTTTTTTCCTGTTGTAAATATATCATTTTTCATCTTCGTTGACAAGAGACATATAAAAGAGATCGAATTTGGAAGCATATAGCTACTTTATCAAATAAGAGTATAAGAATTGGATAATTCTAAATAAATGTCAGGTAAGTAACTCAAATCACCGATCAGCTACAATAAGTTAATATTTTAAAACAGCTTAGATCTTCAAAAAAAGAAACCATGCGTGTCAATCTGGCTCTTCTCTTTGGTATTCTCCTTGGTATTATGTTGGTATCAGTGAGTGGTCGTCAAATAGCTTTGGATGATACAGATGACAATGCTTTGTATTTATCCAAATCAAAAGCTCGCTCGTTTTTGGATGCATTAGAAAGCGATGATGATATAGACTTTCAACGTCGTCAACAACCACAATGCGTTCGATGCAAATTTGGTTTGGGTAAATGTTGTTTGCCAAACTTTTGTCGTAAGAAACATTTTCTACCAAATGAATGTATAGAAGTGAAAACCGGTAAATAGAGACGAAACAATGGTAAAGAAGAAACGATAGTTAGCATATATGAAATCTCATTTTCGATTCATAAACAATAAACTCTCGCCTCATTCTCTCTTGCATAATAATTTTATCTAATAAATTTTTGTCAAATGCTTCTTTTAATAGTTGAAATCTTATATCAAGACCTCTTTTGAAAGCGTGCATCAGCATAATTGACTGTATTGCTACATTTGTCAAATGCGAAGAACTTCAGTGCTAAAATATCACTTTAGAATAAACTTCAAAGAATCCTGTTGCAGTGAAAACTGTTCATTCTGCCAACTGTGGGAATCACTAAAAAAATGCAAGATTGAAATGTAAGTCATCAAACTCTGATGTTACTTGCATAACAAATGAGTGAATTACATACTCCTTAGAAAGTTTGATACTCGCTCCGCGCCGAGTCACTGACGAAGTTTGCATCTGCTACTCGATTTTCATCTAATTTGGTTCAGCGTGTAGCGAGCATCAAATTTTTTAATGAACTTTCAGTATAAAATTTGTTTCTCTCATGTCCCTTTAAGTATTTTCCATTGATTCACGATATTTCGTAGAAAGAGTTTAAGATGATCGAATAAAGTTGCCTTTTGTTCAAGTTCTTTATTTAAAATTTATCAATTATTCAGTGGTTACTTGCATATGATTTTCAACGATTCTCTCACGACAAAAGTTATTGGGAATAAAACTAACGAAAAACGACACCTATTAGTGTTCTCCATTATAAGACCAATTTAATTATATATTTGTACAATAAATAGCGATACATGTTCATTGTCAGCTTGAATCACAAAGTTGAACTAGTGTGAATTATGATTTGTCTTCAATGGCGCAATTTTTGAAATCCTCAACCTGTGTCAAAATACATAATGTAGCATGATTTCTGAACATTCTTCTGTTATCAGAAAAAAGCAGTGGCCTTGGCTGAATTTTGAATAATTCAAGGGCCATAAGAGTTACAGAGTTCACTATCATAAAAAAAGAGACTAGATCGACTCATTTCTTAGCGCAAAAGATCTTATCCAAAAATTAAATTTTTCAGATGATTTCTAAAAGTCACTATGAACCCTCATAATTGAGATGCAAGCACAGTCGCATTTCTACAGAAAAAGATAAGATAACGTGTCTTCTTCAAAATGGGAGTCACAGGAGAACTTTATTGTCAATAATTTAGCCATGACAACGGATTTTACGGAGTTCCTAGGGTTAACACTTTTGATTTCCTGAAAATTCGATGAATAAATCACGTGAAATTTCTTTTGACAATATTTGTCTCTTAAAAAATCTCTTGAAAATTGATTAAATATGAAATAATCCAAGTCATACTCAAATTGTAACATATTATTTCACATTAATCCGCTCAATGTAAGTAAGTGTTGACTAAGTTCGCATTCCATTGAAGATGCTGAACTACTACTATAAAACTAAGAGATTTTCCACTGTGATGTGGTGCTTATAAAAATTTCATCAACGTAGTTAAAGTCTGAGTCTCAAAAGTCTCAAAAACCTCGTCCTGGAAAACGATTAATGTACGAAAGATCCTAAAGCGTCAAAGTTGGCAAAATTCACAGTAAAGCAGAAAAAGGGTTTGTGGTACGTTTCATAATATTTTGAACAGAGCTGTATAATATGGGGTGAGTCTCGTCACAGACGTCAAAGCTCGATGTAAATGGTGGTAGGTTTTATATGAATTGAGCCTATCCATCCATCCTGAAAACATCCCTTTGCAGTAGTAATATCTAAAAAAGTGAGCGTTCGCACTTTCAACTAGAGACAAATTACCAGCCATTTTGTAGAGCTTTGAAAGAACTTTTTTCTGATACATAATGTAGACTGCAACCTAAGTTCTTTCATGTTGAAGAAACAGAAATATTATCGCTCACTATGCCGAAAAGGTCATGTTTTTACAGGAATATTCAAAAAAGTCAGTGTTCACAGTGTACATGACAAAGGAGCAATAGACAGTTTTGTTCGTCGCGTAAAGCTGCATCAAGTGATATCGTGACACGATATTACCGCGAAGACTCGTTTATTGGAAAAGAAGAATAAATGAGCCTGGTTTTGTATTTTGTATATCATGTTTTGAAACTTGGGAAAGTTATGTAGTTGACA